ATTTAAAGTAATTGTTGGGTAGAGAGTCGGTAAGGTATTATACCAGTATACTGCGGTATTTAAAAACATTTAGCGTTATCGTGCCGAAATAAATCGATACAGTATGATACCATACCGAAAACGACGTTATACCAATATTCCGATATTTTCCGGTATTTTCCGGCATGGTAAGTGCGGTATCCCGATTTTTCGGTATTTTTGTCCACCCCTAGGTTTGAATACATATTTGGTACCTCAATTTCCCTCCCATGAAAAAATTCTCAAATAAAATGATGTTTTAAATTAGATTGATTTTGAATCTCATATCAGACCAGAGTTGAATTAAATAGACTAGACCATACTAGATTTTTCAAGATTAGACCAGCCCTGAGTTATATAATAATAAAACATACACCAAACATCTACCAGACAAGAGTGAACCAAATTAGGTTTAACAAACCAGATCAAGTAGACATAAACAAATCAGGCTAGAAAATTTCATTCTAAATTAAAAAAAAAAATCCTAAATATCACAATAATAATAACAAAAATGTTATTATCATTTATTTTTTGTAGTAAAAGGATGCTTTTATTTAGACTAATTTCGTTAGTGAATTATATCGAACTAGATAAGAGTCATAAGACAGGATGAGACTTAAACATTCCAAATCAAAGCATACGTAATCAGACAAGACTATAAACAATAGTAAAATACATACTCCCTCGGTCCTATAAAATTATTCCCGCTTTCCTTTTTGGGCCGTCTCAAAAAAGTACTTTGATAAATTATGTAAACTATAATAAAAATAAAAAAGAAATTACATATGTTTGATAGACCTAATAATAGATTTTTATTAAAGAGAATACTATTCTCTTAAACCAATATAAAATTGTAAACTTCACAGTTTTAATATGTATAATTTGATATTGATTATAAATATGCAAGACTTGTGTAACTTACATATCCGTATATCTATGGACTTTTTTCCGAATTAATGTTAATTAATTAACTAATTACGAAAATAATGCTGGAAAAAAAATATTTACCGATCTACTGCTGGGTTTAACCATGGTTAGGGAAAGTCGCCCAACGGTTGGGCGACTTATAAGTCGCCAAACCGTTTGGCGACTTTCCCTTCCATATGAACGCAGGCCAGCAGCTACTGCCAGCCACGCACGATCGTGCTTGCAAGGGTAGGCACGATCGTGCCTAATTCCGAAAACAGAATTTCAGCGGTTTTTTTGCCCCAGTTCAACCCAGACTCATCTGTTTGCTATAAATAAGGTCTCCCTTCTACTGTTTAAGTGTTACGAGCCAGATACAACACATTATAAAACATCTTGATACAGAAGTAATCATCCAAGAAAAACACATACAACACACCAGTAAAACACAGTACATACAATCATCCAATATTCATAACAAGTAATTATCTAAGACAACATACAAGAGAAAATACGTAAAATGTCCCGAAATTGTTCCTACAACATCAACTGTACAAGAAAAACTGCAATACAAAAGGCAAAGTAGAAGTTCTCATGGTCATCTTGATCACTCAGCCCAGGATCCGTTGTCACCTCCATGTCTACAAAAAAACAAAAACGTATTAGTTAATTTTTAGTATTATACGAATTCTATTTTTTTCATCATCCATTTTATTAATTAATATGTTTCCATGCAACGCTAAGATGAATTGTGAATTACTATAATTAACACCTTACCCACTGGACCCCCCATCGTGTCTTGATGATCTCTTCGCACATGTGGCCCTAGTATGGCCGGATTGGTGGCATTTTCCACATCTAACCGTTCCTCGGGGACCTTCATCCATCTCATTCTTAATACGTGTCGACTTAGGTCTTCCCTTAGCCCGAAGCATGGATGGATCGTGCACGATTTCAGGTCCATTGTAAGTAGGCCAATAATCACGATCACGAATGAGTTTGAAGACTCTATGATATGTGGCCGCGTATTGGTCAGATGAGAAAAACTTATCCACAAATGGAGCATAAGACAAGCTACGTTGTCTGCACGCGGCTAACACATGGGAGCATGAATCTTATATATCTCCATCTTTTTACAAGTGCAAGTTTTCCGTTTAAGATGGACAGCTTGTTTTCTCCCACCCTTCTCCAACGTTCGGCCACCACAACCGGTTTCCACTTGAAATAACCCTCGGCCTAAATCAAATGGAGTAACTATGTGATGCTTGGCATTCTCTCTATTCTTATCAATTAAATATGTGATGTATGGGGAGTACTCGTGGCCTTCTGTCACTCTCATTTTACTGGTTTCACGCCTATTAACAAAATAAGCATTAACCCGGTAAAAGGAAACCTGGACCAAAGCGGTGATGGGCAAATATCTGGCATTTTTCATCACACTGTTGAAAACCTTTGCCAGATTAGAAGTGATGGTACTGTATCTGTACCCGCCATTGTGGTGCAACGACCACATTTCCGGGGGAATGTTCCCCAGAAATTGTCGTGCCTCCAAACTCATTTCACCTATCTTCTTGAACCCACCGTCAAACTTCTTTTTCTGATGTTGCCGTGAGGTCCAGACAAAAAGATTTTTAGATGAATGCCTTTGAAATGAGTGTGCACATTCGATGCAAGATGGCGGATACATAGCCTATGATGCGCATAAGGCTCCTCCCAAATACTGCCCACCTCATTCATTCCCTAACAATACCTCCATGCCGATCAGAAATGACACACAACTCTCTATTAGTGACAAACTGCCTAATACATGCCATAAACCATGGCCAACTATCCACATTCTCAGATTCAACAACTGCAAAGGCCACTGGAAATATTTGGTTGTTCGCATCACAACTCATTGCCATGAGCAATGTACCCTTGTACTTTCCATACAAGTGTGTGCCATCAATAGTAAGTACGGGTTGACAATGCTTAAAATCATGTATTGATGCCTTTAATGCCCAAAAAACTATTTGAAAGTGCATATAACATGTGGGAGTATTAGGGGGTGGGTACCACTGCACAATAGTTCCAGGATTTGAATGTTGGAGCGTTGTCATTAAACGGGGCAATTCAGAATATGACTTCTCCCAACCGCCAAATATTTCTGCTATGGCCTTTTGCTTCCCCATCCATGTTCTCCGGTATAATACCGTATACCCATACTTTTCCTTCAGCATCTCAATGATAGTATGCACTTTAAGAGAAGGATTAGTGCGAACAATGTCAATCACATCTTTAGAGATGAAATCTGAAGTCAAAGCCACGTGATCGGTAGTGTCGGTGTTCCCAACACACGTAGCAGAATGAGGTCCAGGATAACGCACAATTGTGAAGGTATCAAGGTTGCCTTTGTTCTTTGTGGCGCGTATTCTCCAGGGGCAATTACATTCTTTCTTCATTTTGCATTGTGCCACCCATTTGTGTTTATCGGACTCTATCACCCGAAAAAATTGGTTCCGTTTGATAGAATACAAGCTCACCATATTGATGACTTGTTCTTTGTTGTCAAACTGTTGACCACCTCAAACTCACCTTCGGGAGTAAACCTTTTCTCACCTGATCCACTCAGCCACGCATCAGTAAAACCTTCAGGGAGATCATACATTCTAGTAAAGTGGGTAGACGGGGCAGTTGTTGTGACCATATCACCATCATCTTCATCAAATTATGTCATGTATGGATTCCTCAATGTATATCTCCAGCATCGACATGTCCTCCATCTGAACTATGCCCCACATATTTGTTATAGCTAGCTTATCAATGAGGGGCACAAGCATGTACTTTCCCCCGTTCATGGGAAATTTCATTTTCAAACGCAAAAAACGACTAGGATGAATCATTGTGGCTGCATGTATTTTTTGAAGGATCTCGAGCATGCAAACACCACTAGAAACCATGATAAATGTGGTTGTACCACCTTCATGGCATATTTGCCCAGCATCCTCATAATAGTTCCCTCCCCAATGACACACGATTGGGAAGCTTGAGAAATCCATATTCTAATAACAATTCATATATATCCAAAAGTCAAAATTGACAATCTACCCAAATGCCCAAATGTCAAAATACACTTTAAAATTTACAATCAATTTAAAATCAAATTTCAACATTTCATAAATATCCACATTTCACAACAACTCAATTTACAATCAATTCATAATCTAAAAATTCAAAAAATTTAACATTCAAAACCCTAAGTTCAAAATGAGATTAAATGGAGTTTGATTTACCTACAAGAAAGAAGAAAGAGTGTTGAAGATGAAGATGGAGGTTTGCCGGAGTGGGGTAGCTGGCAAGGGCGGAGCCAAGGGAGAGTCAAGGTGGTCAGCCGACCCCGCTGAAAGTTCGAGAGTATAGAGCTCTGAATTATCTTCGATTTGATATATTATGACCCCCGTAACTCATTACGAGTAAAAAGTTATGACTTCTGGAAAATCAGCACTATCTAAACGTAAAATCAACAAAATTTGATACACACTATAGATTATTTTCCCAAATTTTAATAAAAGGATACAATTCACTCAATACTTACGTGACATGACTCAGAAACAAAGCAAAGACAATCTATCTTATTGCTACGAGTGCCTATTTATCTAAACTGCGTATGAAATACGTAGTATTCAACTCAGACAATGTTTAAAAACGATCCACCATTTTCGACCCCGCTGAGCCATTTTTCTGGCTCCGCCACTGGTAGCTGGAGATGGAGGTTCGCCGGAGTTCCAAGACACTCGATCGTTGTTCATCCTTCGTCCTTCGTCGCTAGTTCACTACGGCTTGGGGGATTTTGGGGATTGGGTTTAATTTACGATTTTACGCAGTGTTCTGTTCTGGCTGGTCAAAGTTTTTACTTAAAGGTAAGTCACCCAACCGTTTGCGTTTGGCGACTTACCCCGACCATGATTAACCCAGCAGTATATTGATAAATACTTTTAAACCAACCCTATTTCCGTAATTAATTAATTAACATTAATTCGGAAAAAAACTCTATATCTATGATAGCATTTAATCTTTTCGTAAATTTTTCCATGCAACACGGGTAATTGACTTTGAAAAACATTATGTATCAACAACCTAAGTAACTTTTGATAAGCAATATATACACGAGACGAATACAGAACATGCAAAATCATTTTATGTATCAATAACCCAAGTAACTTTTGATTTTGCTAAACTAAATCTTACCAACAGTTTGCTTCCAAAATATTTAATGAATCAATTATTTCACTCAAATAACTCTTAACCAAACAAATTCTTAGATATAAACATTCAAAGTAACTTTATTCACATGATCTTATTTTAACAACTAAACTGATCATGAAGATGGAGTGAATATCAAGGCCCCATGCAATCTGACCGTCAGATCCAGCCCGAAAAGCATTGTTCTTCGAAGAGTGAGCTCCTAACATGTCCAAAGGATAAGCATCCATCACAACATAGAGCTTTGAAGCTTAAAAGTTTCAATGAGCTTCTTTACAACTTTCACTGGCAGTCCAAGGCATTGCTCTTACGTGAGAACATAACAATGGAAAGAATTATCATTTCCGGTACAGGGAATCGAGATTTTAAAGAGCTTCAACAAGTTGTACTTTCAATGCAATTATGCTTCTGGAGTGTAACTGCAATCTATCCAACATGGCAACAATCAGGATAAAAACTGCAAGGCGCTGGTGTCTAATCCCCAAAATTAATCAGTTAAACAAAGGCACTCAAAGAGTCAGAGATACATTATCTCTGATCGAGTTGGATACATATTACTAATATTAGTAGTCTTGTTGGCCATAATAGGGAGGAAACTTTACTTTAATCAAACATCAACTACAGTGTGGTACTTGGGAGTTCGAAGACAAATAATATACCAGAAGCCCCAAAATGTACAAAGCAGTTTGACATCAACAACCTGCTCACTCTGATCTAGAAAACTTCCTCACTTGCCAATCCAGGTCATCCCTTCACCAAAAGAAAACTTGGCTAATGGTAAAAAATCAGGGAAGTTCATTAAAATCCACAGCCCCCATTATTAGTGAGAAAAAGTCCTCGCTCGCCAGTCACTAATGACCTGATGGTGTCGTTTCAGACTTCCATTCTCTATCTCTCTTCTCTCCAAATAGGAGACCTGGATCAAGCCCCCACCCCATGTGATGTAGTCAGTATTCTAAGGGTTGAGGAGTTTTGAAGACTTGTGGACGGCTTGTTGTTTATCTTGATACATACTCCGTAGCCCGTATAATGTTTCAAAATACAATAAAAGGCGATTGAGAGGTTATACAGTCACATATTATGCTAATTTTCCAAATTTTATTTAATCTCAAATATATATAAAGGTAGTTGTTGTTGTATATATAAAGGTAGTCTAATAAAGGTAGTAGTAGTTGTTGTTGTTGTATATATAAAGGTAGTCTAATAAACCCAGCATGATCTTCCTCGACAAAACCCTCCATCCAAATAGACCTTGAAAAGCGCTAACAGTAGACCAAGCCTAGTGCCTAGCATTGTGCGAGGCTTAACGGGGGATGTTAAGAAAAACGGTTGTGATCAGCTAACTGAGCTACGTAATTACTTGATAGCTACTTGGTCAAAGGCGTAGTGGTGAATAGGATCCCCATAATTGAGGAGTATTTGGTGATTACTCAGCCTTGTATCCATAAAAAAGGTCAGCTCAGTGCACATTGGCGTCCCCACAAGGAGTGACAAGGTAAAGGTCAGCTCGGTGCACATTGGCGAGTGCTTGGGGAAACGTTCCTTCATAAGAGTGTACAGGGACTAGGGGCAAGACTTCCCTAGTCAATTTGACAAGAGACTGCTCCCATTGACCTCTTGGTCACATGCAACACCATAATTGGAGCATCAAGGCTCCGTATCCATAAAAGTAAAAAATACTCCAGAAAAATTTTCCTTTTCAGGAAGTCCCACTACGATAGTTTCATACCAAATTTGGTAAAATTTGTGCGGTTCTAAATTATTATAAATTTATTTTGGGAAAATGGAAAGTAATAATCCAACCTTTTAACGGTCTTCTTACAATAGTCTCACCTTTTTATTATTCAGGAATAATCCAACCTTTGCACCCCATCTTCATTCAATGGTCCCTGACCGGTTGATGATCTGTTATTCCAAGTTATTTTCTTATCTTTGCAAAACATTATGTGACCATAAGGTGAGATTTATGGTATAATATATTGCAAAGATAAGAAAATAACTTGGAATAGCAGGTCATAAACTGGTCAGGAACTATTGAATGAAGATGGGGTGCAAAGGTTGGATTATTCCTGAATAATCAAAAGGTGAGACTATTGTAAGAAGACCGCTAAAAGGTTGGATTATTAGTTTCTATTTTCCCCTTTATTTTTACTATATCAATTCAATATCAACCACATAAACTCACTTTTCTTAATAATCGGGCCTTAGCAGCCGAAGCGAAAAACCATCTCACTTGGACCAGCAGCACGAACGCCATCAACAACAACCACAAACGAGAGCCTTAGCAGAGCCCGAGGAAATCCATTCCTTTGATGAGATCCCTTTTCGCGACTCGGGCTGAAGGTAAAGGGGAAGACGAAGAGTCCAGAAGAAATCGCATCTTCTCACTAAACAACAGATGCGAATGAAAGAAATGAAACCCTAGACATTATACGTGACATGCTGACATTCATTGGACCTATTATGTTCGGATCGATCCTTATTCCCTACGACTGCACGGATTCATGTGGGTCAACTGGCCTGTGTACACATTCCTTTTCTCCCTCTTATTTCTCCCCGGTTCGTTTTTTTTTCTACTCTTAGATGTACTTTTCACCCTATTCAATAAAAAATAATTTACATTAAAAAAAAAAAATCGGGCCACCTTCTCATGTTCCAATGTTAGTGGGACGGAGGTAGTAATACCTAAGTGGCACGAACAAAGGAAACGGGAAACGTCGGAAACACCATCTTTCAAAAATACAGGAAACGAAACGTGGGGGAAACGCTTAAATATAAAAAAATATAGGGGTTATTTTATAAATAGTATATATATGTGTACACACACACACACACACACACACACACATATATATATATATATAGAGTCATTCTCCTGTCCAGCACCTTCCCGTCCGAACACCGCCGTTTGGGGCGGTTCCCGGCGGAATTTTTTGATGAAAATTTTTGAGCATGTTCCTCATCAAATCTAGTTTATTCATACCAAATTTCAGCTCAAAATTCGATCGGGAAGGCATTCAAATAATACGTTGAAGTTAACTACGCCAAATTATACATAGAAAAACGCAGTTAACTTCAACGAATTATTTGACTGCCTTCCCGATCGCATTTTGAGCTGAAATTTGGTATGGATAAACTAGACTTGATGAGGAACATTCTCAAAAAAAATCATCAAAAAATTCCACCGGAAACCGCCCCAAACGGCGGTGTTCGGACGGCGTTCGGACCGGAAGGTGCTGAACCTGGGAATTTTCCTGTATATATATACATATGTACAAACATGCCACACAAGATTATTTCATCCTAAAAAGTAATAATGACTCGCCATATTGAACTGTAAAATTATTCAAATATTAATCCATAAGTCCTCAGTAGTGGAATAACATCATCCGTCATCATCACTATTAAATTGGGAGAACTATCAAATAAGCCCTCGAACTTTCATAAAAAGTGCAAATAAGCCCTTTTATAGGAGGCTCTGTCCGGCCATCGTCATTTTTTGATGAAATTTTTTGAGTATCTTCTTCATTAAGGGCCTATTTGGATGAAGTGTTAGAAGGTGTTAGCAATGGAAGTGTTAGTAAGTGTTGTCATGGGCCCGGAAGGGAAGAGAAGTGTAAGGGTAAGACATAAACTTACCTTGTTTGGAAGAGCATAAAAATGGAGTGTTAGTAAAGGAAGTGTTTTTATATAAATTGACAAAAATATCCTTATACTTTTTAAATTAATTATTTGTATGCTAGCGGCGAAAATAATCTTCTCCTTCATTTGGTAAAAGTTACCTAGTCCAATTTGAATAGCCATTTTCTTTGCCTGCTTCGGTTTTGTCGCTTCAGTAGTCGGCCTCTTCAGTTCAATGGAATAAGTAGTTTTCCAACTTTCACATTTACCCAATTTTTAATAAGATGGATTATAGTAAGAAGTTGAATATTCCTCATATGCTAATAAATCTATATTACACCTTTCAAAATTCCTGATATGCTTGTACGAAGGAATAATGGAATGGGACATATGAGATGACCAACTTGAGAAGAGAAGAACAGCAGATCCACTTGACCGATGAGACGATGAGCACAGCACTAGAAAGAAAGTGAGGTTTTGTTTTTTCACGTAAATGAAGGGTAGTACGTGTCTAACACCTCCTTACACCCCAAATTGGGGTGTTAAAAATGTGGGCAATTGAGGTGTTGAGAAGGTGATTCTTAACACTTTCTAACACTTACTAACACCCTTATTTTTTTAAAATTTCACATCCAAACAGGTGTTAACTTCAACACTCCTGAACACTTTCTTTACTAACACCTCTTAACACTTGATCCGAACAGGCTGTAAGTCTAGTTTATTCATACCAAATTTCAGCTAAAACTTCAATCGGGAAGGCAGTCAAATGAATTTTTGAATATAACTGCACAGTTAGACAGCGTAATATATTTCAGAAAATCATTTGACTTTCTCGATTGAATTTTTAGCTGAAATTTGGTATGGTTAAACTAGAGTTAATGAAGAAGATGCTCAAAAACTTTTATCAAAAAATTCCACCGGAAACTGCCCCAAATGGCGACAGCCGGACAAAGCTTCCTGTAAAAGGGCTTATTTGCACTTTTTATGAAAGTTCGAGGGCTTATTTGATAGTTCTTCCCTATTAAATTTGACTTTTAATCTACATCCACTAATCTGGCAATCTACACCCAGTCACTCACACTATCAGACATTCACAATTAAATATAGGGCTATGGGCTTTGTACGAATTTATGAAGCATATATTTACAAGCTCAAAAATGTATAGCCATTAGCCAATATATTATACAGCTGCATAGTATTCTATTACGGACCGAGAAGAAGAGCAAAGGTAAAGAGACAGACCGGTTTGCAGAAGAAGGGGAACAATTTAAGAGTCTCGGAGTTAACGTAAGTTGCTGAAGACGACGACCTGCTCACCAAGATGCTGAAGCCGATGCAGTGCTGAACAAGACGGGAGTGAAGACAAGAAGTTTAATCCTACTAAACTCTAAGTTTTATTTGTTTGGGCTTCCGGATCATGCGAATGTAAAACGGCCCCAACCTAAATTTCTGAAACTCTTTTTTGAGAGGGAAACGGGTTTCCAACTTCCCAAAATAAAAAACCGGCCTCGACACCCATATAAGCCATTTCTCATGTTCGGAAACGTGCTTACGTTTCCGATACGGGGGAACTCACCCCTCCTGGCATTTCCGTTCATTATAGAATAATACAAATCTTCAATAATATTAGTCTTACACTCCCTCCGTCCTGCTAAGATTGTCTCATTTTTTCTTTTCCGGAAATCCGACTAAGATTGTCCCATACCAAATTTGGTAAAGTTTGTGTGGTTCTAAATCATTTTTACTTTATTCTTATTTTATCAATTCAATATCAACCACATAAACTCACTTTTCTTAATAACTGTGCCACCCCTCTCTTGTCCCAATGTTAGTGGGACGGAGGTAGTACTACGTAATTCTTATATGCACAAATTGCCAAACAATAGCCACAATGCGAAGCATGACTCATGCATTTAAAGAAGGTCCCACCACATCTAACAAATCCTATCTTCTTATATCCTACACTAATTGTCATTTAGCTCGATCAGATTTATCTGCATATTCCTCCATGTCCCCAGTCCCCACACATCTAGAGTAAGAGTTTGTAGTTTTACGAACTATTAAAAGTTCAAGACCTTGAAAATGCATTTTTATCAAATTGAAATGTCCTCAAATTCCTCTTCACTCTCTCAAAATGACCTGATTGTAATTTTCACATTTAGCCACAACTGAGTTAGTCATGGAATACTCTCCCAAGTAACTAGGTTTTTTAAATCAGATTGAGTAGGGTGTTTGCGGTTGATCCCCCCAGTCATTGCTATGTGCCATTAGAGAAAATAAGTTTTTTTCCCAACTCAACAAATATGGTGGAAAGCAGATCAAGACGGAGGAAAACCGAATTATATAGAGAAAAACCAACCTGAGACCAGAGTACCCTGAGTCACCTGCTTGGAGCTATCCGATAATTGAGAACAAGGTCTTCAGGTTTCTTCCATATATAAGCCCGAACTGTGGCTAAGCTCATGTCAGGAGATAATACCTAACAAAGAACAAGTTTGTTTTATTTGTAAAAAATATATCACCTACTCATTTGGAATACAGTGAATAAATAAAAACAAAAGCAACAAGTCTGAAGTCTCTCCTACAAATATTTTTCTTCAAATAAAATTTTCTACTATGTCATTATGAACTCACAATCATTTGAGAATTTGCCTCTGTTTTTCTATAACATCCATATTGCTTGATTAGAAAAAATGCATTGCACGGCCGTGTTCTTAAAACTTCGGAACACGAACAATTTTAAGTTTTGACGATCACATTATAGTAAAATGAACTAGAAAGCCATCCCCAAGGTAGATGATTAAGAGGCTTTCAGAAGCACCATATATTAACACAATTAGAATATATTCTAAAGCTTTAGATTTGCAGACACATTCTTAGTTAAGTACTTAAGTACTTTAATGCAATATTAAGGATTCATACAATGCTCTTCCAAAAAAAGGATCCATACAATGCTCTTCCAAAAAAAGATATGATCCATATAATGCATTAAAGAAACAACAAAATCAGTCAATTGATGGGGTTCTTTTTTTCTTAAACTTGCCTGGTTGTTGCACAATATCTCAATACAAGGCTTAAGCTTTTGAAAAGGCTTAAGGCCTGCCCTGAAGACTACATCTCCTCCAACAGCTGGGCCAGATCCTCCAGAAACAAAAGTTCCATCTGAATTCAAGATATCCAGTTGCGGCTTATCGAGAACTATCTTTTCAATGACATAGTTGATAACCTTTATAAAGAATATTTAAAAAAACATTAGTCGTTGAATCTAAGATGGAATTATAAAAAGAGTATATTTATCATTTACATGAGACAATTGTAGAAAGGATCAAATGGTAGCAGAAAATAAATGACATAGAAACTACTATTCTCCCATTTGAACTGCTGAAGTCCTTCCTATGTAACTTAATGTCCTGTCTTCCCATTTATATCATGTTCTTACTTTCCATTTTATGCAACCACATTGTGATACATAAACTAATACCTCCCTACATCCCAAAAAAGGAGTATGATTTTATCAAAGGAAGCTCCTTTTTAAGGAAAATTGCCAAACAAAATACAAACAATTTAAATATGATATTTGGTTAAATCAACTGATCAACAACATCCAAGCCTTATTCCCAAAAGATTTTGGGGCCCGGCTTACATGAATCAAACCTTGATATTGGAGCCAAAAACAAAAGAAAAATAAGAAAAATAAAAAGATAAGGTAAGATAAAAAGGAGAAGATAAAGATAAAAGATAAAGATAACACAAAAGAACATAAGAAAGATAAAAGATAAAAATAACATAATAACATAAGAAAGATAAAGAAGGTAAAGAGGATAAAAGAAAATGAGAGAGAAAAGAGATCAATCCTCCACACGAATATGCGACGCGCCCTCCACTTCTAAAAATCAGAGGGATTTCAAAACTATTAACAATTCTACCTTTCCAAAATTACAAAGTTGTACCTCGGCCAAACAGGAGTCTTTTAGGTGGAGGGAGAATAAAAAATCAAAAGAATGTGAAAGTGATCTCTACAACTAATTTTTCATCTGAATTAAAGTGCATGTAAAAACCTCTTACTTTATGAACTCTCAAGATACGTGGGGCACTCAGTTTTCCTTGAGTATGTATTTGAACACTAGAACCTTCACATGGATGCAAATAAAAGCTGCATCTGCAGAAATAGATTATACAATAAACAGCTGAGAAAATAAATTCTGACACTGCTATGAAAAATGAAAGTTTAGTAATGCTCCTATGAGATAGACATCAATACATCATCATCAGCACCTTAGTCCCAACAAATGGGGGTGGGCTACATGGAATTTAAGGTATCAATTAATCATCTAAAATTAGCTCAAACACTAAAAATTCAGGAAAAAATTATATATCTGTACAAAACCATCATAATCTAACTAAAAAGAATAATTAGATGAATATATAAAACCGTCATCATCATTACAAGATTGGAATGACGCAAATCCTAAAACATAACTGCATTAGAGAAAGCCATAGGTCTTCTTTTTAGATTGTATTTTATTACAGGAAATGTGTTTCTTCTCATAAAACATAACTGATTTTCCATGGTAAGAGCTCCAATACCCTTTTAAGTATGTAGATACTGAGATTAACTATCAGTGAGAATTAAGTATGAATATATATTTCCAGTAATAAGTATGCATATATATTTCCAGTAATAAGTATCACTGAGATTAATCAAGTATGAATAAGTATTTCCAGTAATAAGTATCACTGAGATTAATGAAGTATGAATATATATTTCCAGTAATAAGTATCACTGAGATTAATTAAGTATGACTATATATTTCCAGTAATAAGATGTGATCTAAAAATGTTTTTGAAAGGGTTCCTCAATCTAATAAAAACTTAATGCATTGTCATTATCCAAGAGTGGAAATAACTCCATAATTTTCTAGATTCCTAGCAACATCAAAACCAAGAAAGTTCAAAACAAGAAATGGAGACAGTTGGAAATTAAACACACTTGGTATTTTCCCTCGGAGGAAGGCGATTGTTCAACACACAGTCCAGGACCCACCACGGGAAGTCCTTCTCATCTGTCATTCCATCTAAGTCTGTAATTTTCTTTCTCCATGGCCCGCCTAGAGAGCCCTCCGTAATGATAGATGGAGGGGAAAGTGCTGAAAACTCAAACGGTGGATAAACAACAGAATCATTATCTGTGTTACTATCTGCCTCAACTCTTGATACAGCTAAATTCCTAGTAGAGATGTCTTTCCCAGGCAGGACTTCCCCATTTCCTGACACCGAGGATCCAAATCTCTGCTTTCTTTTGGTTAACCAATGAACCAAAAGACCTTTAAGGGTTTCCCGCGCCAAGTTAATCTATTACATAAGTAGGAGATACTGGGAATCAGTTCTATTTATATCACAAAGCCACTTGAACAGAAACACTGCAAGGTCAATTAAAAAGGAACCATCCGAAGGAACGTCACTTGGTCAATTTTAGAAGAGTGCAAAGTGGGTATCAGTTCTTCTTATATCACAAACCTATTTAAACAGAAACTTTACAATTTAACCTGAAACCATGAGAAGGCACATCACTTAGTCTACAAGTTTATCCACGAATAGATCATCCACATAAGCAAAAAAAAAACTGAATAGAATATTCTTGATTTGAGGATGATTTAACTTTACTGGTCTGAGTAATACGTGTACTAGGACTCTAGGAGTTAATAAATCAATCGTTACCAGATATGGATATGTTTTTTGTTTTAAGTTCTCATTTTAATTCCATGAGTATTTTATGAGTACTTGGCAATAACTAGCATAACTGGAAAAATTTGTTACTATGCATATTTCCCTTCATGGAGTGACATAAGAAAAAATCATGATGATACACAAGGCAATATGAATCAAAAAGTGAAACCCACAAAAATCCTAGTAAATACTTTGTCATCCTCGGGCTTCCCAGCAATGTTAAGGTCCACAGAGTACATCTCAGCAGAGAAACATTGTGGTGTATCCAAATGTACAGACAAGCTTCCAAGTCTCGTATCCACGGTAAACCACGCAGGTATGCTTACCTGGAGAAAGAAACATAGGTTGAAAGGAGAACCAAGTAGAAACCTCAGTAACTGCTTACTATTATCTATTAGATAACTGGTTCCCACCATCTCAAAAAGTTCTTCTTTCTTCTTCTCGAACGAAACCTAGTCAGTAGACATGGGGGGGAAGAATTTGAAAAGGCATAAAAGGGAGATTATATCAAACTAAAATCATATTATTACATTCTGGGAAGGGATTAAATCATTTCATACTAACCTCACCAAAGTTTTCAATCACAGTGCCCCTGGTGATTTCCCACAATTTCACAGCGCCAGAAGTATCCTTGGAAAGGCAGAGTTAAGTATCAGATTACAAACATAAAAACGCAAGGACCATTATGGGAAGTTAACCCTAATGTTTATTATTACCTTTGTAAGGACATGTCTTCTGTTGTTTAGAATTTCATGCTTAACTATTCCTGGAGTCCCGGGAATACTACATGACGGTTCTCTATAAACAGGCACCTGCAGAGTTTTGTAACAGTCATTTTCATGTTGTAACAGAGTTTTATACCTCAGAATAACAGAGCAAAGTACAATGAGCATAGCAATGACGAGGATTCACAGGAACATTGACAAGCACATAAGGAGAAACTTGATAATGATTACTAAGCAGCACATCAAATCTTCAAAATTGATTCTCCATTTAACCGAACCAGCCAATCACTAGTTATAGAAACAGAAAGACCAAAGATTTAACAAAAACGTAACACTTTCTTTTAAACATTAAACATTACCATTATCATTTACTGAAGATGTGGATTGCTCAGGTCATTAGGTGTACTCTCTTTATACCAAAAAGGGGGGTCATAAGGTGTACTCTCTTTATACCAAAAATGACAAGGGTGAGCTATGACTAGGATTTTTGTCATAACAAAACATAAGACTTGTGGATTTATTTCCTGATTTAGAGAATAACTACGGGTGTACTTAAGATCTGATTTTGTATTAATTACCCGTATCATGTATTTTATTCTTTCTAGAAATAGGATATTCTATTATTTAGATTAGCAAATTGTATATTTAATGTCTTAGATTCTCTCCTCAATAGGCTGTATAAATATCCTATCATTCTGAGATTGTAATATATCACAAAATATTCAGAATTTCACATGGTATCTGAGATCTAGCTATTCTAGGGTTTCTGTAGTCCTCTTCTGGTCGTGCCCATCTCTTGTATCTATCATGGCTCACGAAAACAACAGCTCCATCTCAGAGACAACCTCTAAAACACCCTCATCAATTCTTTTTGCCTCTTCTCAAATATATGAAGCTGTCTCTCTCGTTACCAGCTGCAAATTCAAGGGACACGAATTCTTTCAACTTGAAGCCCTTCAGAAACTTCTGAATCATTCATCCAACCTCTACGCGTGATACTGATATGTTGGCTATGAGAGGTAATAAATCAGTTGCTTGTTCTGTCAATAGAAGCACTAACAAATCATGGATTCTAGACTCCGGAACTTCAGATCACATGACAGGAGATGCATCAAATCCCATCAATTTTCTGTGAGTTTCACCCGAAGAAAGGAAATCATACAGTCAAAATAGAAGATGGCTCACTTTCTCAAGTTGAGGGTTCCAGTTCAGTCAGAATAACTAAGGACCTCACTCTCAAATCTGTGCTCTATGTGCCCAAATTAGACTGTAATTTACTTTCAATTAGTAAATTTACTAGTGAACATCACTGTGTGACAAAAAATTTCTCAAATCTTTGTGTATTTCAGGATTTGAACTCAGGGAAGAGGATTGGCAGTGCTAAGATGTGTTCCAGACTATATGTTCTACGTGATGAAGTTTCATCCACCAACACAAACCAAAAGTTCAGTTTGTTTTTTTTTTTAATAGCCAGACAGTTTCTTTGTCTAATAAGGATAGTGCTATCATGTTATGGCATTATCGTCTTGGTCATCCAAATTTTGTGTATTTATCAAAAATGTTTCCTTCCTTATTTCTAAATAAGGATCCAAGTTCTTTTTGTTGTGAAACTTGTCAGTTTGCTAAACACACTCGGACTAGTTATTCTAGAATCTAGATTAACATATAAACCATCAAAACCTTTTTCATTGATTCATAGTGATGTGTGGGAACCTTCACGCATAAACACTATAAGATGGTTTGTATCTTTTATAGATGATCACACAAGATTAACTTGAGTATTTCTTATGCAAAATAAGTCAGAAGTGAGTGGAATTTTTCAGCGCTTTCATTCTATGATTCAAACTCAGTTTCATGCTACGATTCAAGTACTCAAAACTGACAATGCCAAAGAATTTATTAATTCTATTCTTGGTACTTATTTGATCAAACACAGCATCATCCATAATCCATTTAAGTTCTTGTGTTGACAACCCTCAGCAAAACGGAATTGCTGAACGGAAAAATCGGCATCTTCTTGAAGTTGCTCGATCCCTAATGTTTGGGTCTCACTTTCCTAAAGTTTTTTGGGGGGATGCGGTTCTCACCGCTGCCCATCTCATTAATCGGATGCCATCTAAAGTGTTGAAATTTCAAACTCCGTGTCAAACCCTTCTGGAAATATTCCCCCATACAAGGTTCATTAGCTTTGTTGATCCTAAGGTCTTTGGTTGCACTGTTTTTGTCCATCTTTATCCACAAAATCGTAGTAAGTTAGATCCTAAATCTATCAAATGCATCTTCATAGGTTATTCATCTAATCAAAAGGGTTACAAGTGTTATTGTCCTACTACACGAAAAACCTATAACTCTATGGATGTCACTTTTTTTGAATCACAAGCTTAATACAAATCCGAGATTCAGGGGGGGAATGGAAGTGAATCTCACCTTTGGGGTATTAATGTTCCAAACAGTAATTTGAGCGAAATTTCACCTACTGCACCTATTCTTGAACTCACCAGTCCACAACCTGTGACAGTTGGAGAACGTCAAGATGTCATAGAAAACCAAGTCCCCAGTTCATCTCAAGCCACTGAAAACACCCCTGATCCGTTACCAATTGTTAATTCTCATCCAGAACCTAAAGAACTTCGTGTCTATCAAAGAAGGAGGCACTCTGAGAAAGAACAGACACATCTAGTGGACTGCCATGACTTGGAACTGAATTCAGATCCTCCAGAAATACATTCAGGTATGAGTAATTCTTGTCATGATAGTGTTACTGGTATAAATGATGATCTACCCATTGCTTTGAGAAAGGGAGTTCGTGCTTGTACTAAACATCCCATTGGCAATTTTGTGTCCTATAAAATATTATCTCCATCCTATCAAGCATTTGTTTCTACTCTTGATAGTGTACAGATTCCTCACTCAATTCAAGAAGCACTGATTGATCCGAGTTGGAAAAAGGCTGTACAAGATGAAATCAATGCTTTGGTGAAGAACGGGACTTGGCATCTGGAAAGAGACCAGTGCGATGCAAATGGGTATTCAGCATTAAAAATAAGGTGGATGGTAGCATTGAGAGGTTTAAAGCTCGGCTTGTTGCCAAGGGATTCACCCAGTCTTACGGGATCGATTATCAAGAGACTTTTGCTCCGGTTGCTAAGCTCATTACCATTTGCGTTCTACTATCCGTTGCTGCAAATAGAGACTGGTCGTTGCACCAACTAGATGTGAAAAACGCTTTCTTGAATGGTGACCCGGAAGAAGAAGTGTACATGGATATTCCACCCGGCTTTGAGAGTTCATCCAACCGAAACAAAGTATGCAGACTGAAGAAATCTCTATATGGCCGTAAGCAATCTCCGCGAGCATGGCATGGAAAAATCACACCTTGTTTGTGAAACACTCACAAGATCAAAGGATAGCTGTCTTGATAGTTTATGTTGATGATATAATACTCACAGGTTATTTCAAGGAAGAACTGAAAAGCTTGAAAAGTTTCTTATCAAGGGATTTTGAGATAAAAGATCTCGGTTATCTTAAATATTTTCTTGGCATGGAAATTGCACGATCAAGACATGACATTTTTGTTTCTCAAAGAAAGTATGTTCTAGACTTACTCAAGGAAACTGGAATGCTTGGGTGTAAACCAGCCTCGACTCCAATGGATTCTAACAAAAAGATTGGCTCGGAGATGGGCAGAGCACCTGTGGACAGGGGGAGATATCAAAGGCTAGTGGGACGACTTATTTATTTATCTCACACTAGACCTGATATTGGTTTCCTGTAAGTGTCGTAAGCCAATACATGAATAATCCAACTGAGGAACACATGGAAGCTGTTACAAGAATCCTTAGATACCTCAAGATGACTCCAAGAAAAGGCCTTCTTTTTAGGAAGAATGACAATAAAGATATTAGAGTCTACACGGACGCAGAGTGGGCAGGAGATGTAACTGATAGAAGGAGTACTTCAGGTTACTGTTCTTACGTTTGGGGAAATTTAGTAACATGGAGAAGTAAGAAACAGTCGGTCGTTTCTAGAAGTTCAGCTGAAGCAGAATTCAGAGCTCTAGCTCTTGGCATATGTGAAGGAATGTGGCTGAAAAGATTACTTGGCGAGCTGGGAGTATTTAAAGAAGGGTCTATACAAATGCTTTGTGACAATCAGGTGTTAGGGATCTACCTATATTAGGAATTGGGCCTAATAGACTGTTAGGAATTGGGCCTATTAGAGCAAGAATAATAATAAGTAATAAGGGTCCAGGAGTATTCTAGTATAAATAGACATGAATGGGGAGTTAGCAGGGGGATTTTAGACTTTTGGTCTTGGGACTGGGAAGGATACAAGACTGAACATCTCTATCTTTTGGGGCTTCGGCTTTGGGGGCTTTGGCCTTTGTACAGATTACTGTTCATCTTCTTCAATAAAGATTACCTTGTTCATTGATATTAATTTCTGTAATTTCTGGATATTTGGAGTTCTTATCATTGGTATGAGAGCTGTTACATCCTGGAGACAAAGAATCTGAATCATGGAGGAGCATTTCTACATGACACCGCAAATGGAAAAGAGTTTTGATAATATTGACCGAATTATAAGGGAGACACAAGCGAGTATGGTCGCGTCGCAAGAAAAGATGAAGACGATGATGGTCGCTATGCAGGCTGGCTTCGCGGACATGATAAACAAACTTCAAAGTCGGTCGCGAAACCGATCGCATGCGTCACAATCATCACATCGTGACTCTCATCATCACACGCGAAAGTCAGCAAGTCCAGAAGAATCCGAAGAGCGAAGGCACCGCAGAAAATCTGGCGACCGAACGAGGAACAGTAGGCGTCATCCCCTATCGCAGGCAGGGTCGCGATCTGTTTCTTCTCAGAGTCCGCAGTCGCGAACTTCGCATCAATCTTCGCATAGTTCTTGGCACCGCTCTTCGCATATATCTTCGCATTGCTCTTCTCATAGCCCTTCGCATCATCATTCGCAGATCTCTTCACAGGCTAACAGTTCGCGTCCAAGAAAGAAGCGAGTGAGAGAAGAATCTTCATCTTCGTCGCTGAGCTATTCTATCAGTTCACATGCTTCTTCACTTGCGGACTCTCACCGCTCGTCAGCACAGAGATCATCATCGCTTGTGGTTCCACACCGTTCGCAAGGGTCATCAGCTTCAAAAACTTTTGACATAGGCGCATCAGAAAAGAATTCCAGGGGACCCCACCAACAAGAATGAACGCAAAATTAAACCTGGTGGTCCCTTCAGTTACGGAATCAGACTCTGAAGAGGAGGTTAATCAATCTATGAGATTTTCATCAGACAAGAAGGAAGGTTTAGAAATACTTAAACCAATTCAATGTTTACCAGATAATAGTTTGGAAGGGCTGATTAAGATTGATTGTTTCACATTTGATGTTGTTACTTCTATAAAGCATATTCAGAAGGAGTTGAGCGTGCAAATTATGGGGAAGTCAAGTCCTATATCTCAAGAGAAGGAGGTATTTCTTGTAACTGATGCGATTAGAGGGATAAAATGGTTGATCCATTTGGGACAATCTGAAGGTATTATCCTTTTCCTTACAACTCTGGACAGAGGATTGCAGAGGGAAATGGAGGGTTATTCTTTTCCTGTCATAGAAGTTTTTTTTTTGGGAAAACTCGCAAAGGATGCTGCTACATCAACTTGGATTCTATGCTTCATGATTCCTCCAGCCTGAAGAATGGCAGTAAAGATTTGAGTTCTTTTAGAAAAAACAAACTTCCCTCATCTGACAAGAAAGGATGGAACCAAATAAGTAGGGCTGATGTACTTGGTGATGCAGGAGCTGACTTTGTATTCTCAGCCTCAAAGTGTTGCTTGGTTTATGTGTTTCTTCATAGTAGCAAAGATTGTACCATTTTGAAAATGGACCTTTTGAGAAATGTGCAGTGACAGAGAGTTTTTGGTGGGGGATTTCTATGGAAGTGGTGGGGTGGCATGATGTTGGGTGTACTCAAAGTGCAGCAGTGGATGACATTGTTTTACTGAAAAGCATGATAGAACCACAGAAATTTGATGTCAAGCCTAACTCAAAGGTAGAAAAGTCAAATGGAGTTGAGCAGGTTAAAAGGGATGAGAATCCTGATGTTCAGGACATGAATATAAATTCTGCTGCTGTTGTAATGGGTATACCTCAGGAAAGAATGAAAATATTGGTGGCTATTGAAGGCCTTAAGACTAAGAAAGAGAAAGATACTTCACCAGAAACATTCTATTCTGCAGAAACATCTCAGAGTTGTGAAGATCTAATACTGAAGCTCTTTGCTCGGAAACCAGTGAGATATTGGGAAGGTAGAAGTGCAAGGAAGAAGGAGCAAAAGATCTTGGCTGTCTCCTACCGCCCACCTTGAGGGCAAGGTGGATGTTTAGGGAGGGAGTATTGTTAGGGATCTACCTACATTAGGAATTGGGCTTAATAGACTGTTAGGAATTGGGCCTATTAGAGCAAGAATAATAATAAGTAATAAGGGTCCAGGAGTATTCTAGTATAAATAGACATGAATGGGGAGTTAGCAGGAGGTTTTAGACTTTTAGTCTTGGGAGTTGGGACTGGGAAGGATACGAGACTGAACATCTCTATCTTTTGGGGCTTCGGCTTTGGGGGCTTTGGCCTTTGTACAGATTACTGTTCATCTTCTTCAATAAAGATTACCTTGTTCATTGATATTAATTTCTGTAATTTCTGGATATTTGGAGTTCTTATCATCAGGCTGCTATTAGCATTGCCAAAAATCCAGTCCATCACGATTCACGACAAAACTAAGCATATTGATATAGACAGACGCTCCATCACTGAGAAAATAGAGAACTCCATTATTCAGACCTGTTATGTTCCATCAAAATTTCAAACTGCTGACATTCTTACAAAAGCTCTACCGAGAACCATTTTTGAAGAATTAATTAGCAAGCTTGGGATGTTTGACATTCACAACCCAGCTTGAGGGGGAGTGTGGATTTATTTCCTGATTTAGAGAATAACTACGGGTGTACTTAAGATCTGATTTTGTATTAATTACCAGTATCATGTATTTTATTCTTTCTAGAAATAGGATATTCTATTATTCAGATTAGCAGATTGTATATTTAATGTCTTAGATTCTCTCCTCAATAGGCTGTATAAATATCCTATCATTCTGAGATTGTAATATATCACAAAATATTCAGAATTTCACAAGACTTTCTTTTAAATATTAAACATTACTATTATGTTTTTCTGAAGATGTGGATTGCATAGGTCATTAGGTGTACTCATTAGATGGCCCAGAAGTTATGTACCATACCATTTCATCCAGTCAAAATGAAAGATCTGAGAAATCACAGAGAATGTTCACAGATTGCAGTCTCTAGAAGCCCCCCTTCCAAAAAAAAAAGAGTAATAATTATTTAAAAACAAAACCTCGAAGCTTGTACTATATGCACATACCATTTCATAGTCCCTTGTGTTCATTTCTTTTCTCATTGTTTTTCATTTTAGTTTTCCTAGGCATAAACTCCAATAAGAAAAAAGGTAGAGAGGAGCCATATCCCATAACTTCCACGAACAACTTAATTCATTTATTATTTTTCTTTTTTTTTCAATTGTAAAAATGAAACAAAGTTGTCCGGAAGAGCAATAATGCCAAAACCAAATTATGGTGAACTTGTTAAGCAAAGGTAACACGCCCCTGAAGATGAATACATAGGTAATCCAATCACTTTGAAACACATGAGAAACTTAAGAAGAGTAACGATGACGTACAGGTGTCGATCCCTCCAACGAAATCCTTGCTCTAGAAAATGACAAATTTCCCGCCAAGAATGAACCTCCTATTTGAAAAACTTTCAGAGGATTGTGCACTTCTGCTGGCCATCTATGTACAGAAGAATCAGTTGTTGCAACCCAAATACCATCATCATGCAATGCCAATTGCACAATTGGGTGTTCCTTTGTATAAAGTAGTACACTCTCTCGTGTTGCCAGGTCTGTCAAGTATAACTACAATAAAAAAAAGTACAGCTTAAAGGAGATTGATATATAATAGGTAGAGACTAGGAAAATGAAATAAGCAGTATTTATTGAGGTTAACCACAATTGTAACATACAGATAGGTCTCTTCCACCACTGTAGACGTGACTAAATGTTGGAGTGCTAGCAAGTGCCCAAACAGAATCTGTGTGCACAGCATAGGAATGCACACATCTCTGTTGGCCAAGATCCCATAGTCTACATTAATTTAAGAATTTAAAGTTAAATTTGTGATGGATAAGACAAAACGGATTAGGATAAAGTGATAAACAGGATTGTCATTGTGGTATAATTGATTTCACTTCCTCAAGCTATAATGAAACGGAATCGACACATTGAGATGTCCAATCTGGGCTAGCAGAAAATGAACTCCATAAGTTTCCAACTTCCTAATATATTGGCTAATAAAGGAAACTAGGAAAAAACATGCAAATTCACAAGAAACCATTTATAAACTCATTAAGAATATCCTTTTTGGTACTACAATACATATCATATAGGATACAAAAATGAAATTCAACTAATATGAAGTATGCATGTGCATTAGATAACCTTTTGACTCATACATAGCTATTTATGTTAATTAGTTATGTTTACCTGATCATGGAATCTGACGATCCTGATAGGCAGAACCTGCAATTGGTCATTGATGAAACTTTATTACTCCAAACCACTAGGTTAGTCAAACAACACACAGGCATACAACCAAAATGAACACGTCAAATAGACAAATTGGACTGTCTCAGCACAATGCATAGTGTCCCCTTTACCACCAAAATACTTGCACATTGCCAGGAAGCTTTGACATAGCACTTTACAATTCCTTATTACAATTCTTAGGGTGTTGTGAAGTAGGGAACCAAGCTATAATTTCTTTTGCTTCTTTGGGATTGTGAAGCATCAGATAACTTTCAAATTTCATTCGACTAATAATAAATAAATCCACAAATAATAAGTTACTCCATCATATATTAGTTAGAATCTAAGATATGATTCTTTTTACTTCTTTTGGAGAATACGGACATGGGGATTTGGAAGGCAATCTCTAGTATTGTAGCATCTTTGGACTTTTCTCTTGCACACTTTCTGATCACATAGTGCAGTTTTGATTTGATACCATGATACCATCAGGGCATAGAAACATAGACAGCCAAAAGCTAATGTCCAACAAACCTGCCAGTAGAATCCAGAAGCAGTGCTCTAATATTATCTGTATGTCCTCTAAGTTTCATAGTCTTTGATCCCGTTCTTGGATCCCAAACACGTATAACCTATAAAAATTAAGTCAAAATATTGTACCACGAACCAGAAATTCCATAACTGTCAAACAAATAAAATTGAAGGTATGAAAATGAATTCAATGGTCATCTCCTACTTCTGTTATAGTCTTATAGACGAGCCTAAAAATTCAAAGATTTTAGAATTATGAAATCATTAAGCAAATGCTAAGAAATGTATAAGAAAATAAGTAATGCATCTTTCAGCTGTGACCATAGCATAGGGGAAACCAAAATCTCAAAAGATAACAGCTAGCCGTCACTTCAGAACTCACAAACTAGAAGTAGCTATCCTACTAGAATATACCTTCTCAGTTCCACCAGACACAAGTAGGGTCCCTGTCTCATTCATAGCTAATGCATAAACTGACTCCTTGTGCCCTTTTGCAGCAGTAGGAACATACCCTTGGGACTGAGTAGTATGTGATGAAATATTGTTGCTTGAGCTAGTAGGTCGGAGACTTGTAACGGGTAAAGAAATTCCTGAACCCGTGACACCATTAGAACATTCATCTTCATTACCATCAATTATCTTAGAGATGGGAGCGAGTGCTGCTTCAAGATCCCATACAAAAACTTCTCCACCAAGACCAGCAGAGGCGAAAATGTTTTTCTATCATGAAATATTACAAGAATGAGAATCAGAAAATAATTAATGGAAACCAAATGCAGACTTTGCCTCAAGATTGATGTGCATGTTCAAATTGAAGCAATATATGCAATAACCATGCACCACAGTTAATAATTAAAGGAAGCATTCCTCATTTGAATTTACATTTTCTTCTGCTGCAGCAAGGCATGTGACATAATCAGAATGCTGACGAAGTGTCCCAGCACAAGTCCCATCAGACAAGCTATTCCATACCTGAACATCCAGTAGAAATGAAAAGATAAGCATAGCCATATAGATACAGATATGAATTTAAAAGGGCAAGGGGCGTCAAAGAATTTCAAAAGTGAAGGATATACCTTGACTGTAGTGTCCGAGGAGCATGACACTAATGTGTTACCACCTGTTAGAACAGCATCATTTACCTGCACAATTACTACTTAGCAGACCCCAAAACATAAAATGCAGAAGATGACTCCGAAACACTTGAAAAATACATAGAAGTAGGAGGGAAAGGGATGAAGCAAAATTTGACTTAGAAGCAATTTTTCTAAGAATTATGAACATACTGTTTCATAACAATCACCTGTTCTTATCATCAGAAGGTAAATGCGGTGATATATTGAATTTACAGTTCATAAATTAACTTTCGAGGTTAAATTTTAAAAAAATGATTGTTATAACTTAAAAGCAAATGGGATATGCAAATCATAGAAGGTAGCAACAAGTCCAAAAAACGGAAAATAAATGAGTAATGTCAGGCTTGACATAGCTTAAAAGAACACTTAGACAATGGTAGTGAAAATGAAAATGGTAGATACCCAATCAACATGGGACTCAAACGTTGCAGAGCACGTGGCACCATCTTCAGCCAAAGTCCATCTTTTTAATGTGCCATCACGACTCCCAGTAAATATGTAGTCACGCTTATCGGGCACAACTGAGTTTGATACTGCCAAGCAATTCACACCAGCGCAGTGCTGCAAATAAACCAAATGGCAAAAAATTTAACACTTCTCTTGCAATATATGCAATCCATGGATAGACTACTAGAGCCGCTTCTATTTAGTATAAAAGGTCAATAAATTAATGTGGTCCAATACAAATTTGAATGATTAACATGCATTTCAGATTCCAAATAAAACTAGCGTTAAGTGAGGGAATTGTATACCAATCAGAAGGCCGTAATAAAAAATGGCACTGACAAATTCAAAACTTTGAGGTAATGTGAGGTAATTTTAAAAAAATGAGATGTATAAATACGACAGACACAACCAAGTGTTAATCCAGATTCAACGGGGTCGTTCTAAAATGTATTACCTTCTTCCAGAAGATAATGTCCCAAACACGTTTTTGTGCAATGTTAATAAAAAAGCATCTTTATCTTGGCCCATTTGTTTCATTAGTGTTATTGCTTACTAGTGAAGGAAAAACATACCTAGTGTTTATTTTTGCTTAATTTTAACCATTTTAGGAAACAAGACAATAAAAAGGGGCAATGTAATTGGCACAATGTACAAAAATCATGGTTTATCTTCAAAAATGAAACATCCAAACAATCCCTCAAGTGAATACTACTGGGGATGCTTAAATAAAGAGCTTAGAACCCAAAAATTGGATCGCGGATATCGGATATTATACTAACATCTGTTTGCATGTGAAGATGAGAAATGTACAAAAACTTTATCATATTATTGAGGGAGTTGAAGGACCTCAACGTAAAAGAAACTGTATGACAGAGAATGCACACTTTACACACAAAAACAGCGGCTGGCTTTCCTTTTTCACCTTTTACAGACTTCAGATGATTTTGTAGTAAAGTTTGTAATCTGGGCCTGTAAGCAGTATACTTCTTTGAGTTCTTTCAAGCATCTCTGTGAGAAATATTATAGTAATGACTAATGATAGCCTATATGGGCCGGATATGGCTATATTATTATAAATAAAAATGGGGATAGGTGTCAGCATACTTGTCACGGCGGCTAGGCGAGGCGCGGCGCCAACTGACCGCCATATTGCCTAGGCGTCTAGGCGCCCCGCGCCCGCCTAGGGGACAATTAGGCGAGAAGTTGTGCCATATGTAATATTTAAATATACATATAATAAAATAATATATTACAGATTATTTTAAAAAAACATATATGAAATAATAGATTTATGTTTCTAGAAAAAATGTCCAGTATAAAGTTTCACAAAGAAAATAACAAAAATATGTACTAGTAGTAGATAATATGCAATAGTATAGGCGGTATAGCAGACATTTAGTAACAAAGATTGAATTTGGTTAATGGATTCCAGGTGGACATGAAATAAATGAAAGAGTAGAAGTTTACTGTACATAAATAGTGCACATAAAAAATAGAAAAATGCGTAATACATTAAAAATATATATGGAGTCCAGCTGTCTGCCTAACCAAACAAAATCCAAAAAAGTAAGACCAGCTAGTGACTTTAGAAAACAAGGACGCCGAACCAATGATGTAAACAGAGACGGAGGTGGAGCAACCGCGCCTTACAGTGAGGGGCGGCGTACTGTGGCGACTTCCTACAGTGAATCGACCGACGGGTTGAACTTTTGATGGGCCTAGGGTTATGGCCGACGGCTTAATCTTAAAACTCAACATCTTCTCTAACCTAATATTCTGGGTTTAAGCGGCAAAACAGGCGTTGGGCGTCTCCATGGCGCCTAGTCGACGCCAAGTTATGCCTAGTCGACGCCGAGTTACGCCTTGGCAGCTCCAGGCGAGTCGAGTAACCATGGCACCCCTTCCCCAACGCCAAGACGACTAGTTGGCGCCTAGTCGACACCTAGGCGACGCTGTAACAACTATGGGTGTCAGGTGAAACTCCTGAAAGTAGCATCAGTCAAAGTGTGTTCTTTTTTTTTTACTCCGGGGGGTCTGGGGAGGGGGCCTAGAGTAATCAGGGCTGAAACTCACTCCATTGAGTTTCATACCCTTGTGTGCCTAGCGGGTTTCGAACTCGAGACCTCCCACTAGTAGCATCAGTCAAAGTGTGTTCTTTAGACACAGTTTTCCCATTTAAAAGTGATGTCCCATGACATTAGAGAGGTATACCTTATATAAAACACCTCTCCATGACTCATTATTCTTTTCCCATGAAAAAAATGAGTTGAAAACTATGATAAAGTGCACAACTCATTCCCCTGCCACATGCTACATTTTCACTACTTTGTGATAATTTATATCACATTCTCCTCTGACCATGTACTTTAGTTGAATAATTACAAATGGTCTTTCAACATGATTCACCGTTCCTCCTTGCTAGAGTTCTTACTAGGAAGACATAGTTCTTCATCCATGAGTAGTACCTCCATCCCAAAAAAGAGTCATGTTTCATCGCAAAACAACTCTTGTGAATCATCCATTCTACTGGGAAACTTTTATTTGTTTTTGTTCATAAAAATATACTCCCTCCGTCCCATTTAAAGGTTGCCGTCCACTATTCTCCGGTCAACGTGCATTGTTCTTAATCTTTTACTTTATATATAAAAAGTTTATGAAATTTAAATTATTTTTTGCAGGTTTTGTAGATGTTTTAATGTAGCATCTAAATATGTAAATTTTATTTACTAAAAATAATTCTATTAATGACAGGAATCAGTTAACTTTATGGTCAGTCAAACATCGTAAACCGCGTGGGAACCTTAAAGTGGGACGGAGGGAGTACTAAGCATACATAGCTTGAACACTTTTCTGGAAAAACTTACATAATTATTCAACAAAATTTAGCTTCTCTTGTTGAGATCCAACTCTTTTTGGGGACAAAAATCATTTTACGAAGACTATGAAAAATCAATTCAGATAAGAAATGAGATATATTCCTTCACCTTGCTATGTTCTAATTAATACTAGTACACTTTAGTCGAGATTCGTGGGGATAATTCATTTTGCCAAAAGAAGGGCTTTCAAACCCCCTAAAACAGGAGGAAGAATTAAAATGAAATTAAAGTCACCTTAGTATCATCTGCATCATTCAGTACATAAGTCAGCCTCTTCTCCTTCCGAGGCCTACTTGAGTTGGAAGTATTACCTACACTCGCTACGCGGTGCATTGCAGAAATCACTGCATAACCCTCCAAATAAGCATCCAACACACAAAAACTTATAATTAATATACTTGCTTCATGTGATGGATACATGCCATATATAAATAAACTAAAGATTATACCAAGCTCCAATGAAGAAATAAGTATCTTGTCGTGCTTGGCACACAAATAGCATCACCATCCAAATATCATATGGTGTCATAATTAAATACAGAGAATTATTATTACTGACTTGTAAGAAATTAGAAATGTGATAAATTATAACAGGATCATTTGTAACTGGAAAAAATAGGAAACTACAAACATAAAATAAAATGTAGGAAATTAGTGATGTGATTAAAAATGATCAATTCGACAGGCTGATTAGTAATTACACTTATATGAAGACGCTAATCAACTTCCCAACCATTGAAAAAGAATTCAAGCCTAACCCGGAGAGAAATCGTGTTGCAGACACTAAGATACAAACACCTCAGGAACGTGTAGTAACGAGGCGTATGGTTGACCGGATATGAGGTCAGAGGGCCTCGGGCACACGGGGATACGCACGGGCTGTGGTGGTCTGTCTCAGGAGGGATAGGGGCCCAATTCGGAGTGGAACTTTTTAGATGCACAGCAGACGGAGCAAGGACTCGAGTTGTGGTTAACCGTTAACAAGGAGCTGGCAGAGGCGAATCCGGGTGATGGAAAGGGATTATTCTGCAGGAGAGTGGAGAGGGACGACGGAGGCAAGGGAGAACCTTCACACTCCACAGATAGAAAGAAAGAGATCTGTTTGTGACAGCGGGGCAGAGTGGAGCTTCTTTTGAGTTCTTCTGCTTCCTGCCTGCCTCTTTTTTTTTATGGTTCCTGTCTGCCTCTTTGACCATTCTTCTAGTGTATTTTGGGACTACTAAGCAATAGGTGCATGCTCTCGACCCCAATTTGTTTTGAAAAATTTCCTTTTTTAGCCGTTCAAGATGATTTTCTACTTTCCATTTTAGGTATACAAACATTATGAAAGTTACAAGTTTGCCTTTCTTATCTTTCACTCATCCACCTCCAACTAATGAGCTGTTATTTATCATTTTCTCTTACCCGCATATCTGGCCATTACTTACACACCGACTTTCAACCACCTTCTCTCCTCAGCTTCCCATTCCAAGGAAGGAATGGAATCTGACTTCGTCGATCAGCTTCTCTTGCTTAGGAGAAGAAGGCACCAAGCAGGCAAACAGCTCCGGCTCCACCCTCCCTTTCTCAGTCAAACAGCTCTGGCTCCGGCTCCCTAGTTTCACCACCTAAAAATTCCTAGATCTGGGTGATTCAGCGCCGCCCTCGAACAGACCTTCAGATGAGTCACTGTCACTCTCACAAAACTCTTGCTTAAGTGGAGGACGTCGGTCGTTCAATCGGGTCTAATTTAACCGGATGAGTCGCCGCCGACGCGGCACCACCCTCGAACACCCTCGGAGATGAGTCGTCGCCGCCCTCGGACACCCTCGGAGATGAATCGTCGCCGCCCAGGGCCCGCCCTCATTAAAGCAAATACTTGGGTCGTGGGTCGAAGCACAGTTGTCTCTAGCGATTAGCATAAGCGTATTACTGTTGCACCCTCGGAGATGAGTCGCCGCCACCCTCACTTTTTTCACTTTTTTATTTCTCCCATTTAGAAGAAGGTCGCAGTGCACGTTTGTCTGACATTATTGTACTTGCTCTATAAAGTGTAATTTTCCAATTTTTTGTTTTGCTCTCTCAATTGTACGTAGAAGGGCAAAATGGGTAAGCAACTATCAATTTCTATTATTTCTTAATCCGTGTGCCGGTCAATTTTTGCACTTCAATTCGGGACGGAGGGAGTAATAACTTGCTACTCGTTAGTTAAATTAGTGTTAGCATATGAGTAAGGAAATTATCATGTTCAATGAGAGAATTTTTTCACTCAATTGTTAGTCGGATTACTTGTATCTAAAAGCACTACGTATGAGAGAAAAAACTTTACTGCTTAATTGTTAGCCAGTTTATCTTATAGTTAAAAGAACTACTTATAGTTACTCGGCGTATGTTATACCAAAAAAACTACATATGTGAGAAAATTTTCCACTCTTTTGTTAGCCAGGTTCACTTATACCTAAAAACTCTACGTATGAAAGACAAAACTCTAATGTTTACTACCTCCGTCCCGAATTGATTTGCAAATTTGACTTTTCTTGGTCAAACAGTTTCGTTTTGTTGGATTAATTAGGATGTCAAATTTAAATTATATTCTGATTTAGAGTATACAACTTTAAAGAGATTTTAATGTAGTTTCTAAATATGTAAATTTTAATTACTAAAAATGGAATTAAATATCAATAGTGAAGATTAGCTTTTATTGTTGGTTCACCAAAAAAATTTGACTTTGCAAAACAATTTGGGACAGAGAGAGTAATTGTTAGTAGGCTTATCTTATCCTTAAAACAACTACTTATATGATAATTTCCTTGCTAAATTGTTAGCAAGTTTATGTTCTAATATGTAAAAGGCTATCATAGAGAAAAAATTTCAACTCAATTATTAGCAAACTTATCTTGTTATGTTTAAAAAACACTAAATATGACAGAGAAAATTCTCTTGTTCAATTGTTAGCCGGCTTATGTTGTATATGAAAGTACTACATATGGGAGAGAGAAGATTCTGGCTCAATTGTTAGCTAGTCTTATACAAAAAAGAGCTACATATGAGAGAATTTTTTCACTCAATTGTTAGCCGGATTAACTTATATCTAAAAGCACTACGTATGAGTGACAAAACTCTATTGCTTAATTGTTAACCGGTTTATCTTATACTTAAAAGAACTACTTATGTGATAATTTTTCCTCTCAATTTTTAGCAAGTTTATCTTCTAATACATAAGAGACTACATATGATAGAGAAAACTTTCCCGCTTAATTATTAGCACACTTATATTGTTATATCTAGAAACACTACATGTGAGAGAGAAAATTCTCCCGTTCAATTATTAGTCGGCTTATGTTATTATATCTAAAAGCACTACATATGGGAGAGAAAAATTCTCGCTCAATTGTTAGTTAGTCTTATGCAAAAAAAGAGCTACATATGAGAGATTTTTTCACTCAATTGTTAGCCGGATTTACTTGTATCTAAAAGCACTACGTATGAGAAACAAAACTCTACTGCTTAATTGTTAGCCGACCTATCTTATAGTTAAAAGAACTACTTATTCTTACTCGGCATATCTTATACAAAAAAAAACTACATATGTGAGAAAATTTTTCACTCTATTGTTAGCCAGATTAACTTATACCTAAAAGCGCTACGTATGAGAGACAAAACTCTAATATTTAATTAATTGTTAGTAGGCTTATCTTATACTTAAAAGAACTACTTATATGATAATTTCCCCACTAAATTGTTAGCATGTTTATGTTCTAATATGTAAAAGACTACATATGAGAGGGAAAAAATTTCAACTCAATTATTAGCAAACTTATCTTGTTATGTTTAAAAAACACTATGTATGACAGAGAAAATTCTCTTGTTCAATTGTTAGCCAGTTTATGTTGTATTTGAAAGCACTACATATGGGAGAGAGAAGTTTCTGGCTCAATTGTTAGCTAGTCTTATACAAAAAAAGAGCTACATATGAGAGAAGTTTTTCTCTCAATTGTTAGCCGGATTAACTTATATCTAAATAAAAGCACTACGTATGAGAGACAGAACTATATTGCTTAATTGTTAACCGGTTTATCTTATACTTAAAAGAACTACTTATGTGATAATTTTTCCTCTCAATTGTTAGCAAGTTTATCTTCTAATATATAAGAGACTACATATGATAGAGAAAACTTTCCCGCTTAATTATTAACAAACTTATCTTGTTATGTCTAGAAACACTACATATGAGTGAGAAAATGCTCTCATTCAATTGTTATCCGGCTTATGTTATTATACCTAAAAGCACTACATATGGGAGAAAAAATTCCCGTTCAATTGTTAGCTAGTCCTATACAAAAAAGAGCTACATATGAGAGAATTTTTTTACTCAATTGCTAGCCGAATTAACTTATATCTAAAAGCACTACGTATGAGAGACAAAACCCTACTGCTTAATTGTTAGCCGGCTTATCTTATAGTTAAAAGAACTTGTGTGAGATATGCCCAGATACAACAGTCGAATAATCTAAGAATATTGATAAGAATTTAAACAGTAGAAGAGAAATTCAACATCAACTTATACCGTGTATTCATAATGATGATTCGATGAAGAACAATACATGGTACTCGAACAGGCTAGAAAGTGTTTTGGGAAGTAAAGTGGATTTGGATCTTTAGTTCAAATTTGTCAGAAACTGACTCTAGGAACACTCCGCTCTGATACCACTTGATGGTCCCGGATAGAGGTAAAAGTCTAGAGGGGGGGGGGGGGTGAATAGACTTTCAAAGCTTTTTCGACTTTGAAAACTTTTCCCTTCTAGATGAGTTGATCTACAATCTTTTGGGAGATTTATAGATGCACATCGGAAGTCTTTAACCTCTTAGATAAATAGTGTATAACAACTTTCTATGATGGATGAAGTTTGGACTTTAAATGGTGAGCAGTTGGCTTGGCAGTTGCCTGGATGGCAGGGAACTGCTGAGGCAACTGCTGCTAGAAAAAGGGAGTTTGGGAAAGATGATTGTATGGCCTTATATGGAATGATGAATTCTTTCTGAATGTGTACTGAGCTGTAGATGATAAGGGGTTTTGCATAAGCAGAGGTCTAAGCAGTTGGGTAGACCCAGGAAACTGCTAAGCCACCTGCTGCATATGAAAGAAGTATTTCTGAGAATAGGCAAAACGGACCTTTTAGTAGTGATGTTCCGAAGCTCTTGTGAAACAGTTGTGTCAAGAAAAAGTAAGTTATTAAGCAGTAGGATAAGCAGTAGAGTCAATCAAGACTACTGCTTAGGATGCTGCTGGCAAACTACGATCCCTTTAATGAAGAAGTGTTGGGTGTGTGCTCTGTTGACTGAAAGTAAATCAACACACAGTATATCCTGGTTCAAAGGTGGTGTAATCCTCCTACATCCAGTCCAACCCTATTTCAGATGGATTTCACTAAAGTATTAAGCCCAATACACTTATTGCCAATCTAGCCTTGACAACTCTGGCCTAGATTGAAGGTGTTTCATGAGGAGTACAACACCACTCCAAACTACTCAATCCTTTAGGTTTTTCTCAATTGATCCAATGGGGATCAAAAGGTACTCCTAACCTATCTAACCACACTACAGGCCGAGAACAACTGTCCTCCTGAGTGTTTACAACACCTTGTAAATTACAAGAAAATTCTGGTCACCAACTAAAAACTAAGCTCTAAAAATATGAAAATGATGATCTAGTCTAAGAGCTTAGTGAAGTATGAGTCAAAGCAGAGAGTGAAGTTATGATCAAGCACTTTCTCTTTTGCTAGATATCCTTTGAATGCTTATATGATTTCTCTGCTTTTGAACTCAAGAACTTGATTTTCTAACTCATGCTTCGACCTTTATTTATAGGCATCTCCGATAGATTAATCTCATCCGTTGGTTGAGATGAATTAATCTTGTTAGTTGAATCTTTGTTTCAGAAGATAACAACTTGTTATTTGTCTTCTTCTTTGGAGCCGATAACTTCTTTGTCTCTATTTGCCTAGCCGCTGCAGTTTTCTCTTTAGGCTTTCCACTTGACTGCACATCCCATGTTTTGTGTCAGTGTACAATTTTGCATTAAATGCCCTCCATGCTAGATTCCTTTTCTTTGATTGGCTCCGGATGATCACGAGACATACTAACAGTTTTTGTGTATTAATAAAATTTATACTGGTAGGATTTGAATATCCTATTAAGGTAAATAAATTCACCTTATTGCATTTTTTAAT